TGAGCGCACTTCAAAAGCGGTTGCTTACCACAGAATTTCAGAATGCTATAGGCTAAATACTTTTGACTTCGTAGAACTGATACGAGGAGGAGTTTCCTTCTCGGAAATGGTTCAGACAGACAGGCTTTGTTAGGTAATTGAAAGGAGGACATAAAATTCCGCAAAGCACAACCTCATACCTCATGTCACTAGTGAGTTGTACTTTAGAAACTAAAGTGTATCCTCGAATCCAATTTTGCTACCCTAAATATTAAAGGGCTGCAATTAACGCAGCTAATCAAATCAGTTTAGGCTTTTACCACGCCTGTGGAACGAACGGTGATTTAGTGGATGTTGCATAAGCTCAGGTCGGCTAGTGATCTCGCATTGAAGCAGCACACTCACTACAGGTACGAAAATGCAAAAGCTGTTTATAAGCGAGTTATTTTGTTGACCTTCAGTCCACAATCGTGTGGTTCTCGTATGGTTTCTCTAGCGTCGTTAGGACAGGGAATTGCCAGCATGGAGTACACGACGCCTTCTTTGAGGCTCAAAGAGGAGTAAAACCGATGGGCTTTAGGAGGCCTCATGTGTCTAGGTAGCCATAATAGACAAATAGAATATCTCGGAGTTATATTTTCATGCAAAGGTGGTTCGCCATGCTTGTATGGTACTGACTGGACTTGAAGGGCTGAAGAATAAGTCAGATTGTTAACCAACTAACTGGTTGAGCCTAAACAGATATAGGGATTTGTTGATACGAATTGTAGAGGAAATGTGAAGGAAGTATAACCCATCCACAGTAAGGAAGGTCATGGCGACCTGTCTCCTCGTTCAGCCAATATTTTTGTTATTCTCTGGAAGGGCATAAATGAAGGTTAGATAATTGCTTTTAAATTACTCAAGCAATTCGTTGTCCCTCTATAGCCAAATTAGAGCTTAGTTATCTAACTTGTTCCGGTTGTTTCACATTGTTTCCTTTTTTAGGGAGGGAGCCAAAGACTTTCACCCCTTTTTCTCCTTAGTTTATTTGTATTACTAATATACATCCGAATTTACCTGCATTGCATAGAGCAAAACAGTGACAAAATAATGCTTAATAAAAGTTTTAAAATATCTCATCCATCACAAACTGCTCTCCAATACATCCACTTCTCTCCCGGAATGACATGGACGCTGAATGGCAGGGAGAAAATGGGGCAAATGTAACAGTAAAAAGTAGTTTTGTAATCGCAAACAATCGTGGGGAGGAGAAAAAGAAGAGGATGAAGAAGGACGCCAAGGGAATGAAGAGTGGTGAAAGGCAGTGAGGAAGATAAAGACAAATTGTAGCCCAAATCACCCGAATTGGGAGAAATTGGCGCCGCCGTCAACAGTCACACCCGACCAGAAATACATAGCTTCCAGCCATCTATATGGGAAGAGTGAGTATGGTATGACATCGTAGGTCAGCGAAACCTGGGTAGTAACATTTCCTATATGTGTGGAATTGCGTTAAGGCGTAATTCTTGGATCCGATTTCTCACGTAGCACTAAAGCAGTCCCGAAATTTGCGAAAGTCAACTTCTCCGTCCAATGAGAATCAAATGTGCATGTTTCCCGATCGCGAGTATTCTCCATTTGCTTTACTGTTTCAAACTCCAGTAGACTGTTTTGGGCATGACGCGATCGTCGAAACGAAAAGAACGCGCACTACTTATTGGTGACATAGGGTTC